GGCCTCATTCCTTCAAGTATCTTGTCCACATCCTCGGGTTTCACCAATTGAAATGAATCCATCAAAACTGGAAAAGCAGGCTTCTCTCATATCCCCACATGGGGAGCTGGAGATGACAGAGGGAGCTCATCCGTGCTCTCTCCGAATTCGAACCTCCGACCTGTTGGTCTTTAGACCTGCTGGCACAAGGGTTTAACCCATTGTGCCACTGGGGGCTCCTAATACACTGGGGGCTCCTACATACTATGTGGGAGTGCCTTTGAAGATGGCTTGGAAACTTCAGTTGGTGCAAACTACATCAAATCCTTTATTACTACACTAGCACCACCACTAAGAGGTTACACAATCGGACTAGGGGATACAAGTTTGGAGTTTGCACGAACTATGATATAATATTGGTATTGTGTTTTTCAACTTGTGCTTCTCTGCCTTCCGCATAAATTCATATTTCTGGCAGTAATATGTGTTTCTGGCAGAACAGTTCTATTGCTCCTCAAAAAATTCAGGATGCAGTGGCTCTTTGGCAAACTCTTCTCTTGATCTCTGGGTTATTATTTTCTGATGCCAAAGAACAGCTACAGAATGAGCTGTCTCATGCATAGTCCCAAGTTCCAGCTACAAATTTTAGTATTCATATATCATCAGACATTGAAAGCAAAAAACCCCAAAACACAATCTTCTATTTAGTGTAGGAGGCATTCCTGTTTCCAATCCCCAGCCTAATTTTCATGCTCAGTGCATCTGCAAAACAGAAGGCCGACTTTGAAAACAGGGAGAGGGATAAAAAGTCAGATCTAGTCAGACATCACCAAGTATAAGAACCTACTGCTGCACGAATGGTGTGTTTCAGAAGTTTAAACAGTCTTTTCCTTATGTGAGTCCACCAGAATTTCTGAATAAGATTAACTGCTTGCTCTTCTGCAATCCTGTTGAGAGGAAAGCAATGCATACATTAGATAGGTGTTGTGCTATTTGAAAAAATACATACATAACAATTACTTGAACAAAAACATTTATGTCCACAGAGATTTGTAGACTGTACTCTAGTCACAACAGAATCAGCAGTCTATTCATAAGCTTAGTGCATCTATCTTACAGAGCCCTGCTGCCTAAGACTGGATCTACTAGGCTTGTGTGCAGGTCCATTTTGGCCGGTTTCCTTCTGCCAATCCGGCTTCTTCGGCTTGGTTGGATAGCTGTAACAGAACCACATGGCAGCCGATCACAGCTCCTCCTCCTCTTTTCGGGAGCACATGGTGTGCAAAGTGGCTGCCACTGCGTGCTCCTCACACAGAGTTTTCCTGTGAGCCCTGCCTGTTGGACCAATCAGAATAGAAGAACACCGTGATGTGTCTTATACAAGCTGTGTCTACTTCTTTAGTCTCGTTGCTGAAACCCAGACCCCCTTGAAAAAAGAAAGAAAGAAAAAGAGCTAATAAAAAAATTAAAATACAAATTGTGACTTCCGTTCTTCCTTTTGCCATTTATAAGTTCATATTACAATTTTATATTTTCTAAAAAAAAAGAAAAAAGAAAAAAAAAGAAAAAAAGGAGAAAAAAGTTTTCCCTCCATCTTCAATTCTATTTGTCCTCATTCATTCACTTATTGTCCATTTTTCGTATAGTCCTCGAGGACCTTCCAGTCCGTCATTCTTAGTCCTTTCCCATTATTTTGTTTAAGCAGAAATGTCGCTTTATCCATATCCTTTATTTCCCTTATTTTATCCAACCATTGTGTCTTCGAAGAGGTTATTTCCTGTTTCCAAAATTTGGCAAATACAATTCTTGCCGCTGTTACAATGAACGTAAACAGTTTATCAATATTGTTATCATTAAATATCTCTGATTCAAACATTCCTAATAGATAGAATTCTGGCTTCATTGGGAAATCAAATATTTTTTTTGCATTCTGTTTTTGTTCTATAGTATAGATCAGACCTGGGCCAACTTGGGCCCTCCAGGTGTTTTGGACTTCAACTCCCACCATTCCTCACAGCCTCAGGCCCAAAACACCTGGAGGGCCCAAGTTGGCCCAGGCCTAATATAGATCCATCTGGGGTCCCTTCCTCTTCCTCTGCCATCCACATGGAGAAGCGGGAGTCCCTCTGCTCAGCTCTGGCCCAGGCTTCCGGAGTCAAGGACCAGGTTTACCTCCGCCTCCGATTGCCTTCGTCTTCTTCGTCTTCTTCGTCAGGAAGCACGATCCGAACATTGCTGAACATGCCTTCGCACCGCCGCCGCCGCCTTGGCCTGTACCAGCGTCTTCCCCTGGTTGCCTAGACAACAGGACGCGCCACTGGGCCGGAAATGATGCCACTTCCGCCTGCGCTCTCCCCGCGGCATGTTTCGAAGGGCGCCCGTGTGGCGCCAAACATGGGCCTTCCGGGTACCCGTACGCGGCGCTTGGTGAATGACGTCATCGCCGCTGCGCCGTCATTCACCAACGGTGCTGTCATTCACTCGCGGGGATATGTTCAAGGTGAGAAAGTTTTTCCCGACGTTGTTTTGAGGGAGAGAGCGGGAACATGCATGGGATGGCTTGCTTCCCCGCGGGGAAATTCTGGCCTTCTTCGAAAAGAGGTCGCGGCGATGTTTGGCTCTTTTTTGTAGCGTTGTCATGGAAACAGCTTAGGAAAAAGCGTGCGAGGGAGCTCCCAGTGTCTTGGAAGCGCAGAAATAGCTCATTTGGCGCGAGGAAGAAACACTTCTAAGCCCAGAGTTGAGGAACCCTTATCAGAAGTGTTTTGGATTTCGCAATATCTTTGTGTGTATATATATGTGTGTGTGTTTTGGAAAATGGCATTCATAACCTTTTGGAAAACACCTTTTGAAGATCCTAACCTTTTAGAAAAGCACGACCTTTCAAAGACCCTTTAGAGTAGAACCTTCTCTTGTGGTATACAACCAGATATAATTACTCAAGGTAATGGTTTCAGTTGTTAGACTGAATAACCTGTTGTCTCAGATCTGTTAGGAAATCAGAGATTTGCCAGTGCATACAAAACAGCAATACTTCAGAAGTGTTTTTCATTGCCCAAAAATATATACTCTCCCATAAATGAAATTAGATCTGCCCCCTCCCTCCTGACCTTTAGGAAGCTAGTGAAAACCTGGCTTTTGCAGAATGTTGTTTGAGACCGGCAATCAACTAATGGTACTGATCACAATATATGGACTGGACATACTGATTGAGTTGGATACGATTTTATCTTGGCGAACAGCTTCTATGTAATGTTATGTAATCTTTGTAATTTTTACATGTAATTGGTAACTTAATGTTGTGTATTATGTCTAGATTTTCAGTGTTAGCATTGAATCTTTGCTGTTAGCCGGTCTTGAGTCCCTCTGCAGAGGTAGAGAAGATCGGGATATAAAAGTTTTAAATAAATAAATGAATAAAACAACTTGTTTTATGTCATGCACTCGAGAGACAAAAATGAAGTACTGGGTTGTTGTAGGTTTTTCCAGCTGTATGGTCATATTCTAACGTTTTGCCTTCATCATTAAATCATGTGAAGTCTGTTGGAAACTAGGAAAATACAACCCAAAAAACCTACAACAACCCAGTAATTCCAGCCATGAAAGCTTTCAACAATACTAAAATGATGTGGACCAGGGTCCCTAAAACTAATGTCCAGGTGCCGGATGCGGCCCTCCAAGGTCATTTACCTGTCCCTCGCTCAGGATCAACCTAAGTCTGAAATGACTTGAAAGCACACAATAACAACAACAATCCTATCTCATTTGCCAAAAGTAGGCCCACACTTGTCATTGAAATACCAATAAATTTATATTTGTTAGAATTGTTCTTCATTTTAATTATTGTATTGTTTTAAAGTGTCTTATGCAGTACAAATAAGATATGTGCAGTGTGTATAGGAATTCATTTATGTTTTTTTCAAATTATAATCTGGCCCTCCAGGAGTTTGAGGGACTGTGACCTGGCTCTCTGTTTAAAAAGCTTGAGGACTCCTGATGTGGACTTTGATTTAAAAACATATTTGGTTTACTCACAACCTTCATGTGTTCAGCATACACAGGTACAAAACTTACCAGTCTAGTTTCAGATGTGCCCCCGGCTATGGAACTCCCTCCTGGTGAGATCAGGTTGGCCCCCTCTCTCCTGTCCTTTAGAAGAATGGTAAAACCTTGGCTGTGGGACCAAGCTTTTGGGTCAGGGCAATAAAGCGGCAATAGGAAAGATGATCAAGCCAATGATTTGACACGGATGACTAGGACGGTTATAAATGGTGTATTTTAATATTTTGATAAATATTTTTAAATATTTATTTATTGTATGTCTATCTGTGTCCCGGCATTGAATGTTTGCCGTGTATATGCTGTGCTCTGAACTAAATCCCCTTCGGGGTGAGAAGGGCGGAATAGAAATGTTTTACATAAATAAATAAATAAATAAATAGATATATAGATAGATAGATATTATATATAGGTATAGGTATAGATTACATATCTTGGAGATGGGGCCCAAGTCTAAACTCAAAAGTCATTCGTCTCATCATACTGTCATATAAATCATACTCTATTACAAGTTATAGCTCATGATATGAATCTTATATACATTTCTTTTAAAATTTTGTGTATGAAACAACATGTGTGTACATGGAGCCATCAGCAATCAGAGGTGCCACCCATGTGAAGAATCTAGGAGCATTTAGGATTTCTAAACATTTGTTAGGATGAATCAGAATGTCTTGTGCATTCAGATACACATCCACATGTATATAATCATTTACACACACACACACATAGTGCAATTACTGTACATACTTTATAAATAGAAGAATAGCAAAGCAGTTCTCTGCTCGCAGGCTTACAATCTTATTCAGACATGATGCAAAAAGAAAAGGGGATGGCAGTCTAGGAGGGGATAGAGGCCAGTGAAGTGGCCTTTGGGATGAAGGATTGGGCCTTACCTCTTTCTACCGCTCATGTCTTCCCACCCACTAATTCTTTCTCTTTATATAGGAGCTGGGTTTCTGAGTAAGGGGTGTTCAACCAATAACACCTTTGTTAAGGCTATATCTGAATGTCATATGGTGACTGTATATATGCACACAGATGAATATGTCCAAACAGACACACAGACAGACTCATATAATACTGACCAACACTCATTTTGCTGCCTCAAATGTTATCTGTCTTTCTGGGTATATTTGACCTGCAACTTCAAAAAACGACACCAGTTTCTTCTTACCAGTTCTGGTTTCTGAGATACAGAACATATGCCATCAACCAATTGCCATCTGCTTGCCCATAGAAAACCATAAGAACCATATTTACGAAACTAGAACTGATGTAGTCTATTCAGTGCATTTTTCTAAATTAGCACCCCAAATAACCCTAGGAACAAGCCTAAAAACTAATACACCACACTTTTTTTGTTTGGCTATGATAATTATTTATAGACTACTTACTTAGGTGATCCCTCATAGTCAGAGGATGATGGTCCTCCAAGAGTGGTAACCTGGGGGTGGATCCGTAGGTGGCTGTGGAGCCCTATTCTTGACCTGCATCTTCTCCTGCAGTGAGGGCATCGGTTTCCAAGTGGGAGGCAGTCCCGGTCGGGGTTGGCTTGACGCACCTTCCTCTTGGCACGTTTCTCTCTTTCGCCCTCCATTCGTGCCTCTACCAATTCTGCAGCACTGCTGGTCACAGCTGACCGCCAACTGGAGCGCTCAAGGGCTAGGGCTTCCCAGTTCTCAGTGTCTATGCCAGAGTTTTTAAAGTTGGCTTTGAGCCCATCTTTAAATCTCTTTTCCTGTTCTCCAACATTCTGTTTTCCGTTCTTGAGTTCAGAGTAGAGCAACTGCCTTGGGAGACGGTGGTCGGGCATCTGGACAATGTGGCTGGTCCAGCGGAGTTGATGGTGGAGGACCATCGCTTCAATGCTGGTGGTCTTTGCTTCTTCCAGCACGCTGATGTTGCTTGTCTTCCCAAGAGATTTGCAGGATTTTCCAGAGGCAGCGCTGATGGAATTGTTCCAGGAGCTGCATGTGATGTCTGTAGACTGTCCATGTCTCGCAGGCATATAGCAGGGTTGGGAGGACAATTATTATTATTATTATTATTATTATACTTTATTTGTACCCCGCTAGCATCTCCCGAAGGACTCGATGCGGCTTACAAAGGCCAAGGCCTCAACACACAATATAACAAATACAAAACCTAAGGCAAATTAAAAACAATTAAAGCAATATAAACAACAAGCAATACACAATATACTTTAAAACTGGGCTGGCCAGAGCAATGGGGTACAGGGTTAAAAGTGCTGAAATGGCAGGAGGCACGTAGGATTAAAATAGTGCGGTGTGCAGCAATATTAATTGTACTAAAGTGCTTCTAGGACTTGGGATGGGGAATTCCTAATCTGAGAAGGCACATCGGAACAGCCAAGTTTTTAGGTTCTTTCTGAAAGCTGCTAAAGTAGGGGCCTGTCGAAGATCTTTTGGAAGGGCGTTCCAAAGTCGGGGGGCCGCCACAGAAAAGGCCCTGTCCCGTGTCCCCACCAAGCGCGCTTGCGACGTGGGTGGGATCACGAGCAGGGCCTCCCCAGATGACCGGAGCGAGCGTGTGGAGCGAGCAGAGAATAACTTTATAGCTTTATAAACAAGCACCTTGGTATCCCTAAGGATGTCCCGGTCCTCAAACACTCTCTGCTTCATTCGGAAAAATGCTGCACTTGCAGAGCTCAGGTGGTGTTGAATTTCGGTGTCAATGTTTACTTTGGTGGAGAGGTTTTTCTAATGTTACACCATTAAGCTCTATTTCTGGCATTGGGGAATGGTTGGCTGGTGCCTGCTGGAACAGCACTTTGGTTTTCTCGATGTTCAATGACAGGCGGAGCTTCTCGTATGCTTCTGCAAAGGTGTTTAGAGTGGCTTGTAGATCTATAGACTATTTCAAAATGATAGGCCCAATTTCAAAGCAGTATTTTTCACGATGGCAAGTTTTACTAACTGTTTTGAACTAGAAACAAATCTAAAAAATAACTCTACAAATGGAGAATATCTTATTAGGACTTAGGTTGCGGAGTCGCCATCTTGCAAATGACAGGCTAGTGGCCATTTGTGTGCTGGGAGAGGCATATAGTGGTAATTTGAAACTCTATGCCCACCCTTTCAAGTGGTATGAGTTTCATTCAGGGGTGGTTTGTGGCTGCAGAATTACAGCAATTTCAAATTAGATCCATCTTTTAAAAACACCCTCTGCATAGTAATATTGTTATACATTTTTATAAGCAGAGGAATAACAAAACAGTCACTTGTACTTAATCATATAATCTAATAATTAAGATATGATAAAAAAAGGGGAAAAGGCTGGCAGCATGGAAATTGAACCCCTTCTCTCTTTTGAGGCCAGAGAATTTAAGATGGAGGGTTGGCCCTTGCAAATATATACATGTGTGTGTTTGGGTGTGTGTGGCTATGGGTTGACCATGCATCGGAATATAGTATAATCTAAAAATATATCATGGTGATACCTAAATTGGGTCATCCAAAGGATACAAAATATATTGCACAAGTTGTTGAGGATCACACTTTTCTTCATTATGTTTGGATGTCAATAGTCATTTTAGAGGAAGAAATGCTCCTAATAAAAGTGACACCTTTATATGTTTTTTTCAATTTTACAATAGTAAGGAAGCTTTTGAAATCTTCAGAATTCTTCATTGCGCTTGATCAGCCTTCTCTGATGTATTAGTCTTCATATGTTTGGGACAGCAAACTTTGTCTTTCCTGAATATTGTCCAGGCTTCCAAAGTTTGATGCAATGTGAGTTCCTCAATAGGAAAAGAGTAAATGTAAGGAGAAATATATAAGAATTTCTATGTGTGAAACCAGAATTGTGTATATGGGAAACTGTTCTCACCCCCCAAGTCATTCAAAGGCTATCTTAGTATTAGCCTCAAGTGTCACTATAATGATTAGGTCACTCTTGTCATTAAGTTTCCATTGTCTTCCTTTCACAAGGACAGAAATAATAGTGTGGCTGTGATGTAGCAATCAAATTTAAATAGAGCGGAATAAATAAACAATTTTGCTCCCTTTCAACAGATAATGTAGAAGCAAACACACTACTTCCTGCCTTTGAAGAAAAAATGTTTAGCCTGGGGTATTGTGTGGTTTCCAGGCTGTATGGCCATGTTCTAGCAGCATTTTTTCCTGAAGTTTCGCCTGCATCTGTGGCTGGCATCTTCAGAGGATCCAGGCCATGCAGCCTGGAAACCACACAACACCCAATGATTCCGGCTGTAAAATCTGTCTCCATTCTTGAGTACAAATGGCTGATGTTAAGTGAGAGTGTTTTTGCTTCTGATATTGAAGCAAAAATTTGCAAAATCACTTAACATCAGTCATTTATCCTTGCTTCTTTATTTATTAAAGTAATTAACTATTCTTTAGTGGCTAATAAGAGGACCTTGGTTATTTGAGTGTGTTTACAGTTTGCTACCTCTCTGCTCTCTGAATATTCTTCTGCCTTTCTACAGGGGGAGCTATAGGATCAAATTCTGTAAGTTGGATGTTTTGTATAGTAAGGTTCATGCTCAGCAATATTTGATGTAGTTCAGATTTCTAACACATTTGTGGAAAAACAAATGTGTTCTTGAAATAACTTTAGTGAAATCAACTGTACATCCATCATTATACTTTTTTTTAAAAAAAAGTAATTCTTTTGTTTCTGTTACTGGCCAGACTTTTGCCGCTGTTCAAATATGTCACTTATTTGTGGTTTTGTACATTCTGTGCCACACATAATTTTCCTGTTCCCTTAAAGAAGGTCATTCAGTGTAAAGCAGTGGTTCTCAACCTGTGGGTCCCCAGGTGTTTTGGTCTTAAACTCCGAGATATCCTAGCCAGTTTATGAGCTGTTAGGATTTCTGGGAGTTGAAGGCCAAAACATCTGGGGACTTACAAGTTGAGAACCACTGATGTAAAGGATCACATTGTGTGGCCATAATGGAAAATGGAATGGATATACAGCCTTGAACTGAGTTGGTGCAATGGGAGACTTATTTGGGATCATAACTTTACAACCTATACATGCTTCCACAGGAGTAAGTCATTTATTTTGAAAGAAAGGATGACAAAATCAGTTAAGACTAGGAAGCAATGTTTTTCAAGCTGTGCTTCCTTAGAAGCTTATCAGGTGTATTCATTTGCCTGTACTTTCCAGACTTAGCTGCACACTCCAAGGTGATTGACATACTAACCCCCAGCAATATAAACAAAGATAAACTACAGCACTGATTAAACAGAAGTTGAGTAATGGTCGATGATTTTTTCTGAAATATAGTTTGGCCAACTTTTGCCTTCTACCATGTAACCAGAGATGTTTTCGAAGATGTGTCTTGGGTTTGTACAGAGCAACAGTGGGTCCCAATGTGCCTTCAAAAAAACTATAAAACATGTTACAGAATCCCATGTAATATAAAGATTGATTTAATGCAGACCACTTTTTATACGACAAAAAATTGAAAAGACTTGGTCCTGCCTGCCACTTCCACATATAACAACATAATGTGAAAAAGTGGAAAATATTGATGTAGTCAAACTCATCTTGTGAATCAAGGTCTAACTATACTGGTATTTCTCTGTGAGCTGCTGTATTCCACCATATTCTAGTCAAGAGTGTTACATACAATGGTTATATATTTGCTTCCTGAGTTCTTATTATTTATAAGCTGGTATTTCAAGCAAAGCTTGTTTGAATGGAATATTTCACAGACAATTTCTAAATAGCCTAACAGTAGGGTGTTATGTATCCTTACCATTTCTTTGTGAACAGAAAGTGGTCAAACAGCATTTTTGCAAGCTGTTTGCAGAAATAAGGTCCGCCCCCCTCCCTTCAGTTCTGCTTCATGATTATTGCCTGTAGAGAAGAGTACATAGTTCTGAATTTCTCAGTTAGTTGTTCTTGAAAACTGTAAGGATATAAAAACTGCCTTTCAGATAGTTGTTTTTCTTGTGCTGAGACAGCATTAGGAGAAGTGAGACAACAACGCATCAAGGAAACACAGTCTAGTAGAGAGTAATAAACTTCTGCTTAAGTGAAGACAGTGCTGTCTGAGCACTTTTTAGTATAATGTTAAGCTGACGGTTAACAGTCTTGGCTTCTATTAAGTTCTTGAGTTCCTTTAGTATAGTGGCTGCTTATATATATGATATGATTGATTTTATTTGGTTTTGAATATCCTTTTTGGATTGAATAGATCATTTATTTATTATTTTGCAAATTTCCATGGTGTCAGAATATGACATCAAAAATAGTAAATTAATAAATAATACATTAAATACCATGTAAAGGGCAAATTGGCCTGAAGACGAAACCAGAAGATATTTGGACCTAAGCCCAGTATATTGTCAGGTTAGAATGCAAAAAGAATCATACTTTAACTAAGAAGAAAGAAAGCCTCATTGGATGACCGAGGAGACTCTTCAAGCAGTTAAGAACAGATGGGAAACTAAAATAAAAGGTAGCAGATAAAGAGTTAGCATCCTGAAAGCAACCGTCCAATGAATTGTGAATAATTACAAAAATAACTAATAATCAATATAAAGAAATAAAAAAGACTACAAAAAAGAGAACAAGAGATGTCTGTTAAGGCCATAAATGCTTTCCTTTACAGATCAGACCAATTTATCCGACGGCCTACCCATTGATTGATAACTGGCAAATAGAGGGAGAAAATGTGGAGGCCGTGACAGACTTTGTATTTCTAGGTGCAAAGATTACTGCAGACGCAGACTGCAGCCAGGAAATGAGAAGACGCTTACTTCTTGGGAGGAGAACAATGTCCAATCTTGATAAAATAGTGAAGAGTAGAGACATCACACTGGCAATGAAGATCTGCATAGTAAAAGCAATGGTATTCCCCGTAGTAACCTACAGATAAGAGAGCTGGATCTTAAGGAAGGCTGAGCAAAGGAAGATAGATGCTTTTGAACTGTGGTGTTGGCGGAAAGTTCTGAGAGTGCCTTGGACCATGAGAAGATCCAACCAGTCCATACTTCAGGAAATAAAGTATCTCGAATGCAGATTGGAGGGAAGGATAGAAGAGGCAAAGATGAAGTACTTTGGCCACATCATGAGAAGAAAGGAAAGCTTAGAGAAGACAATGGTGCTGGGGAAAACGGAAGGAAAAAGGAAGAGGGGCTGGCCAAGGGCAAGATGGATGGATGGGGTTCTTGAAGTGACTGGCTTGACTCTGAAAAAGCTGGGGGAGGTGATGGCTGACAGGGAGCTCTGGCGTGGGATGGTCCATGATGTCACGAAGAGTTGGAAGTGACTGAACGAATGAACAACAACGCTCACTCATAGCAACTAGGTAGTGAAATGCTCTTATAACTAGCACAATTTTGCTACTAAGCTCTTGTGCATATTTGATTATGTGACTCTCAAGAGCACGTTGTCTTTAACATCACTGAAAATAAGAGGCTCAAGTGCAAGTTTTGCCTGTGATGTGTTTTGCTTTGTTATAAACCTTTACCTTGCTTTCCCCCAATATTTTGTGGAACAAATTCTTTAGGTTTTCAAAAAGAGCCTTAGAATGGCACATCTTTGTTTTGTTGGTATAATTAAGCCACCCTGACCATTTGAGAGTATGGTGGGGGAGTAATTTCTATTGCAGTTAGAACAACATAGTGAATGTGTTTCAAAATTATGTTTAAATCTTTCCTTTGAAAACATGATTGTATGGTTCTCTGTTTCTTTTTCAGGAATGCCTTTTGTTCTGTTTTTTTATTCCTATGAAGGAATGTATTTTCACTAAAACAGATTTTTGCACAATAGGGTCTTTTATATTAAAAAAACTATACAAGTATCTAATGGACTTTGGCTCTCATGTATGCATATTTGATATATATGGTGTATATATATTTGTGTTATATATTTCATTTAACCATATGAAATGCATATACTTTCATTATATTTAGGTAAAGCAGTTGGTGGCTGCTCCTGTTAGCTTAAGCTTCCTTACTTTCCAAGTATATGCTGCTGCTCCAGAAAAAGAGGCTTCCAAAAAGAGCTTACTGAGAGTTGATGAGGTAAGACTTCTGTATGATTAATAGTCTTAGAATGTCATTTCCCCAGTTTCTGTGTGTAGATTCCTAATATAGAAGTTTCTGTTACCTGATTTTGCTCATACAAAGCGTTTTTCAGTGAACAGTGCTGTACAGTGACTTTTTTTAAAACTTTAGATTAATTTACCAAGCTCTTAGTTTTCCTACAAAGTAAATAATTCTGCTTTTTACAGCTTTCACTCTATACCAGTCCAGCACCAAAATCAAAGTATGTAGAAGATCCGCAAACACAGTTGGAGGAAGGTATCTCTCATGTGCGACATTCCTTGGAGCCATATACAGGCTGGTTTCAGGTATAGTAGTTTATAATCTTTAGAGGAGTCTGAGCAACTGAAGAATTTGTATCAGCTTATAATTTTTATTTTGGAAAATATTAGCGGGTGAAGCTAGCTTCCCTGCATACTAATTGAGCTCATTTCAGTATTGTCTTTGTCTGATTCTTCCATTTTCTGAAAATATAGGTGACTGACCAAGCAAACTGCCCAACAAAGTTTTTGTTTTGTTTTTTTTACCGATACTGAAAATTAGCATCCTAATTAGATATTGTTCAGATATTCACAAATTAATTTTTGGTTGAAAACATTATTTGTGGGAAGCAGTTTTATTCATGGACTTTTATTTTTGTAAGCGGAGAGGTTCTGACAAAGGGATTTTTCTATTTAGAATTTTGAATGCTGTGGAAATACAGAGAGAGAGAGATCCAAGCAAGTTGCAGTCCAAATAGGTGAATGGCAATGCATCTCCCATGTTGCCACTAAAGCATCCAGAAAGAATTTGTTAAGTGGCACTTTTCTGTTGGCTAAAAAGCGTAAAGATCTGACTGATGCACATGTCTGGCCATTTTTCCTTGCATAATAATCAAGGTGTTTGAACCGAACAACTATTGTGTTAATGGGCAGTTACTTAGTGACATTTAAACAAAGTTCCATTTACACTAAGTTATCACATTTCTTTTTTGGTGGCTTCCTGAAATGTGAAACTTGGATATCAAACTTATAAAATTTAAAATATTGATGTCTGCATATAGAATCACGAGGTGTGAGTCAGTTGACCTTTATCACTGACTTTACGATCTGTCCCTTTTGCACACATTCTTTGCTTATTTTCCCCTTTCCATTTTACTGTCACCGAGTCACTTTGGCCCATTTGGAACACATATGGAAAAAAAACAGGTTCACAAGAGTTCTGCAGGTTCTCTCCCAAGCATCTCCACTTGCTCAGTGCTAGAAAAAGGCTCCCTTTCACTATCACTAGACAGGAAAGGGTAGTCGCTTTGTTCAAGAAGAGGAAAGGTGCAGAGCAATCACCTTCTATCTCTCTCTTTATGGAGAAAGACACTTTACTTTAATGCTATCAAGAGCAGAGGGAGCCTTTGGAGAAGGAGCTGACATATGGGCTCTGGAACATGACCTCACGTGACATCATACAGAATAGTTTCTGATGCTGGCTTAGAAAAAAGTAAGGGAAAAAAAGAGGGGAGGAAACATCCAACCATGTTTAGTAGGGTAACTTAGAAGAGGTTTCCATTAGGCAGCAAGTCATCTTTTCTTCCACATGAATAAAGCAAAAATAACACGTGCCTCTTTAAAAAAGCATGCACTTCTTCCAAACCAGTGAAGCAAAGATAATGTAACCCTCTTTAAAAATCAAGTACTTGTATTCTTGTTTCATTTCTTGTAGCATGCCTAACCCAGCATATCATTGAACTTACAGTTCCTGATATGTTTATGATTGCATTGATATATAGTGCTTTCTTCCTTACTTCTTTTGGACTTTTTCCAGTATTGCAAGGCTATTCTGTCAGTCCCCCTGCTGCAAAAGTGGAGGAGAGGGCATATGCCACTCTTGAACTGCACACTTGAGCTGTGTCTACTGGTACTTTCCTCTTGTGTCTGGATAGAAGCCTAGGTCAGACATAGAGAAAATTGTTCAGTTTCTGTAAAAGGCTGTAAAATTACTATACATCAATTTTATTAGTTCTTATTGTTTTGTATGTTTTGTACTAACTAGACAAATATGTCAGTGTTCAGATTGTTTTCATAAGCTGTCTGTTTTATAGTTGCAGAATATCAAGCAGTTGTCTTTGAACTAGAATTAATTATTCAAAAGAAGAACAGCAAACCAAGTCAAGGAAGAAGGAAAAGAACCATGTAAATTACAGAGATATATTTCAGTTAATGAAGAAAATATATTCCTGACCACTATTTTTTATTCTTACATTTGGTACCAGAGATAGAAATAACATGGAAAGAATAGGTATGGCAGGAAATGGGATCTTACTTGCAAAACAGCAGGGACATTTAGGAAATCTACCTGATGGGACTTACTAGATTCCTTTCCATGTGCTATTGATATTTTATTGGAAGGCTGGAGCCAATGCATAGTTAGTAGTTCTGCAGATTAATTATGCATGAATTTAATTTCTGCAAAATTTCTATATAAACAGCTTGGTAACACATGTAAAGTGCTTATAATGCAGCAATAGCTGTTTCACTGTTTCCTCCTTTCTCATTAGGATTTTTGTGGCAAAGCCAAACCCAAAGTAGAGAAAGCGGCTGAATATGGTAGAGGTACGTTCTGTTCATAGTTGTGTAACTAAACTGGAATTGGCAACTCCCTAAGAATCATGTTTTGTAGTCTGTTTTACAATGACATTGAATGTTCTGATTTTTGTTTGCAATCATTATTTTACCATTATGACTGTAATCATATGTCCTCCTTCAAACAACAGGGGTAGTTAACAAAAATGTCACTGCATAAAAGGGTCATGTGGGTACCATTTAATGTAATTGGACTGTCAAACAATTGGATTCTGCCCAGGCATTCAAATCAAAATGAGGATGCTTTATATCATCAAGCAGAGGGCAGTTTAAGAAAGCTATATCTTGAACAGAAGTATGCCACCCATTTAATGGCACAGGGACAAGGAGTTAATGGATTAAAAAATATTCTCAACACCCAAAACATAGTTTAATTCTGTCCATAAATATGACAAGCTGTTTCTTCTTTTATCATTTTAATAGAATATTATAGGAAAATACTTTTATTGGTATATTATGAAATATATACATTTACTTTTTTAAAATCCTGTAGCACCATTGAGATTATTTTGGAAAAAATAATTTGTTGGCACAACCTGGGGTTCACAACCAGATACAGTGAAGACATCTGCCCCTGCGCTTCCTACTCTGCTGCTGAGTATGCATGCCCAGTGTGGAACACATCTCACCACGCTAAGACAGTGGATGTGGCTCTTAATGAGACATGCCGCATTATCATGAGGTGTCTGAGCCCTATACCACTGGAGAAATTACACTGTTTAGCCAGTATTGCACCATCTGACATCTGCCAGGAAGTAGCAACCAATAGAGAAAGGACCAATGCAGTAACATCTCCGGGCCATCATGTGTTTGGATATCAGCCATCACGCCAACGACTTAAATCAAGAAATAGTTTCCTAAGATCTACAGAGACACTTGCTGAAACACCTCAGCAAGCGAGAGTCCAAAAATAGCAGGTTAAAACCCAGAACCTCAGTCAATGGCTGATACCAAATTAGGGCCTCCCTCCTGGGCACACCGAAAATTGGGCGACTTGGAAGGTGCTGAACAGACTGTGCTCTGGCACCACAAGATGCAGAGCCAACCTTAAGAAATGGGGCTACAAAGTGGAATCCACGACATGCAAGTATGGAGATGAGCAAACCACCTACTACAATGCAACCTGAGCCCTGCCACATGCACAATGGAGGACCTTCTTATAGCAACATAAGAGGCACTCCAAGTGACCAGCTACTGGTCAAAGGACATTTAATAGAATGCCAAGTTTGTGCTTTTTTTAATGCAGTACAACTGTTTGGTTTGCTCCTGACACGATAAATAAATACATAATATTTGGTGCATTGCTGTCCATTTCATCAGATATATCTGATATAGTCTAGAGCAGAGTTTCTCAAACTGTGTTCCTCCAGATGTTTTGGACTCCAGCTCCCACAATCCCTAACAGCTGGTGGTAAACTGGCTGGGATTTCTGGGAGCTGAAGTCAAAAACACCTGGAGGAGCCCAGTTTGAGAAACATTGGTCTAGAGAGAGATAAGGTGCCTATTACATGGCATATTTATTTCAAGTATGCATTGGGCTTTATTGAAACATATTGGATTTAAAACAAATTAAACCTATTAGATCCAAGATAGAAATATGGTAATAGTGATAAGAGACAGGCTGAAAAGGAGAAGAGATAGGCACCTTATTATTGGATATAACTTAGTATATATCAATGATGAATTACTGTATATACAGAGATATATATACTTTTCTAGAAGTTGGTCTTGTGTATAGGTTGAGGGCATGTTTTGGGACCAAAATTATGGATTTTGATGTGACCCATGGATAAGTCGAGTGTCATTCTGTGGAGAAGGGAAAGCACCAATGCTGCCTCAGGGGAACAGCTGCCCCTAGCTACCATGGACATTTCTCTGCACACATACTCAAAAAAGGCCTGGGAACTGCACCACATTTGAGAAAGTAGAAGGGATTGGTGCTTCTTTTAGGTTCTTGTAGCATAGCTAAGCTCATAGCTTTCACTACTCTACTCAGAGAAGGGCATAGCTCCCTTTTTAAATAACAGTTAAGATACAATAGTCACATTGACATGTGGACTAAAACATAATTATTCAAGCAGTAGGAATAGTGATTTATCCTTTGTGAGGATGATGGAAGAGTTGATGTAACATCATGATTAGAAGGTTATACATTCCAAGCACCTGTTAGATACCAAAAACCTTGGATAATAGTAAATCATATACAGTACTTTCTGGAGCCCCTGGTGACACAGTGGGTTAAACTGCTGAGCTGTTAAATGGCGCTCCATGCAGTCATGCTGGCCACATGACTTTGGAAGTGTCTATGGATAATGCCGGCTCTTCGGCTTAGAAGTCGTGTCCCCCAGAGTCGGACATGACTGGACTTAATGTCAGGGGAAAACCTTTACATACTGTACTTTGACTGTACTTGGGTCAGAAGCATTCCATAGAATGGCACTGGAGGATCTAGAGAGGCCCACAAACACTTCCAGGATGGGGAATATCTTTTGGAACACGGGTAAGTAAAATCACATACCTATATTGAATCTGTGGATAAGGGAGTCATACTGTACTAATGCGTGGAGATTCAGGTTCAAATCCCTATTTGATTAAGGAGCTAATGGATGATTGTGGATTAGTAACCACCACTCACATTGCCCCCCCCCC